AAAAATAAAATAAAGAGAAAAAGAAAGAGTTGCTTTAGGAGTTTAGTTGTGGCACAGCAGATGTGGCCAGTGTGTGTGCGTGTGTACAGGAGACCTTCATATTGTTTGTGAACGTTTCCTATACACACAAGCTCAGAAAAGTATCATTCAACCTTTAAACTCCTCAAATGACTCTTACTGAACTATGCTCATTCCGCAGTCATAAATTACCGTACTATCTCTATTAATGTATAAGACTAACGTACCCGATATAATCAAAATTAAACCTTTGTTCTTTGTAATAATATAATTACTGTACTAATATTTCTTGTTTCAGGAACTTATTAATCTTTCTTCCTGCTCTTCGTTATTCATCCTTGTCATGTTCTCCCATTTTCCTTATATTTTCTCTTGTTGTTGAGCAGTTTTATTATATACAACATTTTCTACAGTAATATAATTTTAAATATCATGTACAACACTCAGACATTTTTTGCAATAAGTTCAATGGCCTATGTTATAAATTACTGTACTTCACAATAGATAATTATACAGTATGTGATAGATATACTGTACATTTTAATTTCCCCAAATACTTCACCACTACATGTCAGCGTCCTACTCACATTTCTTGTAAAGGTTTCAGAGGAAGCTCCCTCACCTCTGAGACTCTTGCTGTGAACTGACACTTACATTTCATCGGTATTTTCAGAAGCTCCACTCACATTGCTCATGGAAACGTATCAAGAAGAAACTGTTCCTGAACACGAGGCAGACATACTTCAGCTAGGTTGGTCCTTTGGTCACAATGACAAAGATTCTGAAAGATACACAATGGGTGTCAGCTATTAATAGTACAGTAATATTGTATAATAATGTACAGTTGCCCGCATATGTAATGTTCCACGCCTCACAAGCGACTCTGTACGTGTTGATCAAGGTACCGAGTTGCCTGTGAAGCGAAGAACATAATAACTGTACCTACGATCTTTGTTGATATCTAACCGGTTCACAAAGTTGCAGATAAACCTACAGTAATAGGTGGTTGTGTTCCATGTGACTGAGGAGTCTACTACTATATGAAGGAACAAACCTGCATTACTGTACCTTGACAAGCTCAAAATTGTCTAATAAATAATTTTGCTTCCTACTATTTACCGAACTGGTTAATACTGATTATATATTAACACAAGTCAGATATTAAAATAAGTCTATCAGTATCAGAGAGGGAACTTTGAGAATCTGGGTCATTATGGCTTCTGGAATTTATATGTTCACTTTATTTGTTTATATACAACATAAATGAAGCATCACTTAATTTACATGAATATATTGTAACATAAAGACACTGAAAACTGTTAATACTTATACATTGTTTTGAAAAGTGTTACAATTTAAGTTGATAATATTTAAAGAATACAGTATATTAAGACTACATTGTAATTTTACTACTGAACAATTTTACTTATTACTTTAACAGTTGCCACATTATTACTCAGTTGAATTATGAAATTAAACAAAGATTATCCAAATACTTCACCAATAACCTTGGCACATGGTTACACACCCACAGCACCCAAGCCAACACCCTCTCAGGCAGAGGAGACCAAGGAAGAGACCAAGCCCACACACACAGCTGAAGCTACACAGGTCCACTCAGGTAACTCATGCAACACGTACAATACTACCTTCTCAAACACTACTGAAATATCATAACAAACTCTGCAATTTATCATCGATGATTTGTTTTGTGTTCAGAAACATGTATACCAAGTAACAGGTGTGTTGCTAACATGTACAGTACACGTTCATAGTACTGGACTAAGATGATTGACGTGTCATAAGAGAAGAATTTAAGATTAATCATACTGATCATGTTAACTGTTATTCATTCAAGAAGAACTTATTTTACTAAAGCTTATTCAGCATAACTTAATATAGGTGACACACTCATAAGACTATTAAATGTAATTTGCAGTTATCAGTCCAAACACCTACTGAGATATTTCAAACTCAAGTACAATGAATATGAATGATTCAATAAAAATTAATTGTTTATATAATTCTAGATGATTTTTTTTAATTTGAAGTGCTCATGTAAAGTAAACAAAACAACTGTACATATTCTTGCCAAGTTTTATCACATACAACTTATTCTCTTCACATCGTTACCATAGTACTCCCCATGCATTTAAAGATACATTACCTCTGACAGTAGCTGCAGCAGCACAAAAAAGAACAACAGAGTCGATATATATGTACAGTTACTTTACATAACTTTTGATAAAACTCCTCCTTCATTATCTGTCCTCCAATCTTGCTTTTCATTTTCAGCGATACAATATTTCAGTTATTCCTCCCACTAAGATACTATATAATAATGTTTTTCTATGCTACACGTTTGCCTAACCTATTAAATTCCCATTAAGGTTAAGATAATGTCTCGGCTACTGCCAAATATTAATACTTTAAAACTAGCACAATTTCCCCAATAATTTTCACCACCATGGAACGTACTTTATGGATCACACGCTGTATCAACTCATGTGTCTGGTGTATGGTTACAGAGATGTGTGTACCGGGCTTTAAGGCTTTGATTCACTTAGCCACTGACAATCAAGTAGACCTGGAGACTGTTGAACTTGAATCTGTTGAGAAGGCGGCGTTTTCAAAAGACATCGCGAAGTTAAGTCTCCAATTGAAGAAAGGTGTGCAAGTTAATGAGTTAATGACCATGATGAAGGAGGGAGACTTTGTTGCTCTGAAGCGCACAGAGCACCAAGCAAAACTCCTGGAGGTGGCGGACCGTCTGGAGAGCGCCACAGTACACAAGGTGTTAGTGCAGGAGGCCAGGGACCGATGTGATAGTAATATTGGTCTTAAGTCTGTAATGCGCACGATTGAGACTGGCAAAGAATCAATGGAACAAGTGATCATGGATGTCTCCAAGGAATTTGGACCATCCTCTGAGCCTGTGAAAGAGATCGCTGCCATTGGTCACTTGTTACAAGAAGGTGTGAGATGTGATGAAGTCATGACTCTGGTTGAGTCTGGTTTGTTGCCTAGTTTGAAGATGCCTCAAGCACAGGTCCCACTTGTGTCCATGGTGGCCGACAAGGGTCACATTGGTACCATTTGTGAAGTGATGGTGGCAGAGTCTGTAAAGGAGATACCAAAGACTAAGACTAAAGGAGCTGCTGCACGCGTGTCTGAAGTCAAGGAATTACTCAAGAAAGCCAAAACTCAATGTGTGGACGTAAAGAGTAAGTTCTGTTATAATCATCTTTAAATGTGGTTCATATTTAATGTGAAATCAGATTTTGTGTTGTGCATGTTGACAGAAGCCCCATTACATTGTGCATAATAGATTCTTTACTTACATATGGATATGCCTTACATACATCAATTGATATATACATCCCCCCCCCTGCACAAAATAATTACATAGTTTTTCCACAAGGATATTTCATTTCCTTCATAATGTTCTAAAGTTTTGTTGAAATTTTATCACATAAAATTGAAGTCCCTTTTCATTAGTTATATATTCTGTATTCTAAAACAGTACTGGAAATGAAATGCTACCTGTGGTTGTCAAATTGGACATTAAGCCTTTTTGTTTGTTATACTATATAAGTTTCCCAAACACTGTTATGATTTTAACATTCCGTACACCACTTACCATGATTGTGTTCCCTTCCTCATCAAGCATTCACATCGGAGATGGTTCCTGGTGTGAAGGCCATTATGCGTATGGCTCAAGAAGATCAGGTGAACATTGAGGAAGTTGTCCAAAAGGCCAATTTGGAACATAAACTAAAAGAAGAAGTGGCCAAGATTGGCATGATGGTGAAGCATGGCGTGTTGGCCCAGGATGTTATTACGCTCATGGAGGCTGGCGAGTTCCCTCTGCTTATGAGGGAAGAAGCTCAAGCTCAGCTGTTGACTGTTGTTGAAGACTTTGGGTTTAAAGCCCTTGTCAATCAGGTTATGACTGAACAAGTAGAACAGGCTATCCAGAAGACTGATAAGACCATCGGAGTTAAGACTTTCATCCGCATGCTGGAGCAAGCCAATGTAAATGTGGAAGAGATAATAACAGAGCAGTTCCCGAAGGAATTTGATATTAAAGAACAAGAGCCAATATCTCAAGAAATGGCTAAAGTTAGTGTAATGCTCACAGAAGGTGTCCAGGCACAAGAGATTATATCCATGGTAGAGGCGGGTGAACTGCCACATCTGAATCGTCCTGAAACCCAGATGCCTCTCATCAACGTAGTCGAGGGCCAAGGACAAAGTGCGTTAATCTTCCAGGTTCTGATTGAGGATTCAGTCAGGGACATCATACAAGGTGATAATAGCACGCGTCTTCAGTAGCGTCTTGTATAACGGACAACTGTAGTATGGTAGCCTTACTGCAAAGCGTAGAACAATATTAGCTCCTGAGAACTGACTTATTGTAAATAGATCAAATGTGGTATGAAAATAATATCTCTACTCTACTCTTCAACACTTGTAAAACAAATACTAAATGTAGAAAAGATTATGAAGTGAAAGAGCTAACACCGTATGATAACTTTAGATGCATGAGTGTTAACCCAATCTTTTCTAACAATCAACACCTTTCTTTTCTTGAAATATCTGTTCTTTTCAAGTATATAACATTTATTTATTTTCTTCTAATCTCTCCTAACTAATTTAAGTGGTTCACCTACCCAGGGCGACAAATAAGAATTCTACACATACATGAGATAATATTCCCTTAACAAATGTGTCACACCCATGACAAAATAATGATATACTGTATTAACGTTCTAATGATTTATTCATCCATTAATATATCTATAATACTTAATATATCACAACCAAGCAGACTGTCTCATTAATGTCTGAACAGTGACTCGTTAAATAGCTAAAAGGGAAATAATTAAAGGCCTTAACCCAATAAACATCTCTCAGTAGGGACTCATGACCTCTGTTAGTATGATCATTTAGGGAGAATTAAGGAATACAATTATTTTCAGAACTGCCCAAGGTAGATGTCGCTACCATCTCGTCTGTGGAAACCCTCCAGTCGGCTTCTTCGACCAAGGTTGAAGTGAAAGGTAAGTCTAAGACAGAAATAGTAATGGTTGTTTCTATTATTATTATAAGAAGTATCGGAGAGTCTTACGGTTAGATATTATTAGCATTTAATCTTATTTATGTGGTTTATTATTGTATGTAGCCGGGGCATGGCTTGACAGAAGCTATTCAGGAAAATTTGAATCGGGAACGACTTCTGAGTCTGATCACTATTATAATGGGTGAGAAGAGGAACATAGTCATATTATTTTGCAAATTTCACTTATATTTAGTGTGTGACTAACAATATCCATCCTAAATGAATGAAGAAAAATATAAAGATTATACTTATTATTCATATACTTTCTGTAAACCTTAAGATTATGAACTCAATATTTATATTTTGGGAATTAATTCTCACATATAGTATATCTGTAGAAGGTTTACAGTAAATAGTAGGAATATTTTCTTCATACATTAGTATTGTCTTTACCTTTTCCTAGTAGAAAGCATCAGTGTAGTGTAGTATTGACACCACTTATATCTGTAAGCTGTTCTAGAATCTAGATGTTAGTGTATTAAGTTAATAACCCTGTTGATGTGGAATGAATCTTAAGTAAGTAATCTTGGTTTATACTTAACAGTAACCTCCGGATGTACTGAGCCGACATAATCCCAGTCCCTGCATCATACCTCATCTAGCCTCGTATTGTGTCTGTCCGTGTGTTTGTGTGTCTGGTGCCATTCACTTCAGAACTGAGACTCATCATTGATCCCTACTAAGAATTCTTTATCAAATGTTGTAAGTGTGGTTGGGGAGACTATCACTGACAGGTGTGGAAACAGTGGCTGAAATATTTAGGAAAGATTCTGCTTGTGGCTCTGCTCAAACACCGAAGGAAACAATGTGTTAAATACCTATGCAGGATATATAAACAATAAACTTTGTCTTACACTGTACATGGTTCGTAAAGTCATGTTTTCGTCATAATATAATTACCAGTGTTCACGGCCCTACTTTTATGTGGAGATAAATTACTATTGTGGCGTTGAAACAGGAACTAAATCTGCTGCTGCAGTTGTGACGTTCACCAAGAGCCAGATTGATTGTGACAGTGAACCCTTGGGCGAGTGAACCTTTGTCATGTGAGCCGGTATTGTTAGTTTGTCTGTGTAAGGTTGTTGGTATCCTAGTGAGTTGAGACAGCATGCGAGTTCATACTGTGTACAACCTTTATCAATAGGATAATAAGTCTTTGGTCCATTAATGATACTGAAAAAAACTGTGATAAGAGACACAAAAGAAAAAACTTATTTCTTAAATACTCTTCATGAAAACTGTTCTAAAGAATTATTAAAAAAAAGTGAAAATACAAATTTCTTTCGAATGACATTGAATATTATGTAAAGTGTTGGCTTGAATACAATATAATTGTTGCTGGGAACTCTTTCTAAGAACTCAAGATATAAACTATGTTAACATTGTCACAAAATAAGTAGAGTGCAGCTATAATGTGCATCATAAACACTGAAGGATAATTTTATTAAGGGCTCTGCTGTGTGGATAGTCCTGTCTACTGTACTGTATGTGCTCAGTAAGGTGATTCTAGATTCCATCTCTGGTGCTTAAATGATCATTGTGTTGATGAAACGGCCTGTGGTGATTCTCCCATGAATGAGTGATGTAGTGTACCATTGTCTTGTCGGAACTTGTGTATTGCACACACACTGACTTTACCTGGAGAACTGATGGTTCATGTAGTGTAGTCTTGTCTTGTCAAAACTCATGTGTTATACAGCACATGTACCCAGGCACACATCCCTGCACATGTATACTGTATGTATTATTGTTGCACGTTTACACTTATGTGTTGAGTGATATTAATTAAGGTTTCCTTTTCCCTAAGTACTGCAGAGTTTTATATATTTATTTTTATATCATAAAACTAGTTTGTTTAGGCTGTTCGGTTTATAAGGTAATGATAGACTTGTGGTTTATGATTTTTCAATAAAAATGAAGAATAATACGAAAATTTGATCCTTGTGTCACATATCGAACTTGAAGACGGATGAGGTAAGTCATATAAGTATGTGAATATTTATTTTGTGTATGTATATTATAAGTGGAACTTGTATATAACGTGGATGGGTAAGATCAATATATAAATGGTTTAGATGCACTGACACTTGCACTTTGTCAGCTAAAATTCCTTTTAATGTTTCTCTAAAGCGCATAACTTTTTCGGGTCCTGTAAATATCATTGAAATCTTTGTTTAGTCCTGAGTGATGAAACATAGAAATCTTTGTACTAACAATTTAAAACCTTTTCAGAGGACACTTTTGTCCCAACCCTAAATTCACTTGGTACTTACGATGTATAACTGGTGAAGAACTTTTCTTAACCATAACCATAAAAACTTCATTTCCAGCTAAGAAAAGGCAGGAAATCCAGGAGATGATAGAATCCACTCAAGGTTGGCACCAAGACTTTGGTTAAATTTAATACGTAACCCCAAACATTGAGCTGGTATTAACGGTACATTAACCAAGGAAAATTGTTTAGCCACAACACTGCCAGCTGTGGCTTTGTAGAAGTGGTATAATAACACACTATAACTATATTATCAGTGCAATCAACAAAACACTATAACCATGTGCTATAACACCTCACCACATGCTATAACACCTCACCACATGCTATAACACCTCACCACGTGCTATAACACCTCACCACATGCTATAACACCTCACCACGTGCTATAACACCTCACCCACCACAAACTGTCACAAGATAAGCATATATCCAGTTGTGGGCGCTGCTAACTGTAATATGGTATCGGAGGCTCATTAACATCCTAACAGTGATGAAGCAATACTGCAATTGTAAATTTACATCATATTCATACCAGAATAGTGACTGAAGCATCACATGGCAATGCTTTCAGTAGAGCTTCGAGTTGTAGACGTAGTACTGCTAAACAGTATCATCAGGTTAATACTCACCACTGAGTAACCTGAAGTGTTCACATATAAGACAGCAGTATTATACAATACTAATCAAAGAATGATACTAATTTAGTAACCCTTTATTATGTCAAAGAACTGCTCTTGGACTTAAGACAATAAGTCATTATGAATGCATTAGAGTAAATAAAAGTCAATTATTAAATAACTTTGACCTAGATTTATAGTAAAGTTTCATATGTTAAACTAATTGTTTGTCTTAAAGATTAATAATACAGTATTTGAAAATAGTGTAGTTGATTGAGGCAGTCTGTGTCTTAAGAAGATTTCAGTTGTAAACAGTGCATTCAACTGCAGCTGCCCACTAGATAGATCACCTTATGTACACATCACACATTACACATCTCATTACCATAACCACCCATTTTGGATTCCAGCTGGTTTGGCTTCTACTTTATATTATTACCTTATGTTATAGATGAAGTGAAAAAATCATGTAAATCACTGCGTTTGTGATAATTTGGATACAAAAGGATATTTTCATTAGAAAACCAAAGAAATTTCAGTGTAAATACTCAGAAAAAGAAAATGAACATTGCAACATCATAAGACAGAAACAGCATTAAGACAACCGAGAAACAATAACAAACAGAAAACAACCAAGACAAGTCTCATACATGTACTGTACAAGATCAACGGCAGTAATGTTGTTGGAAGTTGAGCGATGAAGAAAAGCGCATTTTTGTTCTCATTATTTTGGCCGCTTCATCTTGGCTGACACTGACCAATATGGCAGGAAGCGAATGTTATCTGATCAACTATTAACATTGTGTCATTCTTCATGTATGACTCACCCCTAGTGATTTACGTCACTGAAGATGAGTTTCACGTGAAGATGAAGTGATTAATAAATGATCATGACACTATTATGCAGCAATTACTACATTTTCTCATAACAAAAAATAAAACCTTGGAAGTCACTTTGGTTCTGATGAGTGTAAGGATCTGTGATGGTGATCGTACCTTAATTAAGATGACAATTTACTTACCTTTTCTTAAATAAACAAACCATGAACGTTTTCCCTCATAGACACCAGATTCCTCCATAATGCAAGGTACTTCCTCGGTTTACACTGCAGCTTAAATATTCTCAGCCAAATTTAGTATTCGCCAAAACTCTGCCAGAAACTTACACAACTGACACTTCTCAAACGGCCTACTATTCTGCACTTTACATTTATATTTTAGCTACAGCAATTTAATACTTACAATTACAATGGCTACAAAAATATCACTGCTAATACACTGTACTGTGAACCACCTACATCATAAAGGACCCCCCACATCAATGTTCTTTGGTAATCCACAAATTTCTAAATATTTTGTATCCAGTTCCCTCTACAAGGTGGCCTCAGGCACAGCTATAATTGCAAATTTGATTTTATTCTGTAACAACTGCATACGCCATACTTTGCACATTCTTATGATTTACTTTTTATTTTGCAGTATTTGTACTCTTTCTCTTCATAATACAAAGGCAACTAACTTATGCAGGACCAGCAGTTTCTTATTAATAGGTACTCTGCTATCAGCTGCTGTCATAACAACAATATAAGTTTTTTACAAATTTAGTTCCTGTATCTGATTTAATTTTTATTTTATTTCCTATATATAATGGGTATGGTTTATATAGTAAAGTGATGAAGCTTTAGTATCTGTCCATCCAAGTTTACATTTCCAGTCCATCCGTATTATGATGACGTCAGGAGGGGTGATTGTTGACGTGTTCAGAGCAAAGTACCATAGGACGGGCCTCACTGTACAGAACTGTACGGTATAAATTAAAAGAGGTGATATCTGTCTCGATTGTTGATTAGGTTGTAAATATAAGAATCCTATTTTTTTCTTTCGTTACCACATACGAGGATGTAATGTATGTGAGAGCTTTGTTGTTGTTGATGTTGTTATAATGTTGTTGCTGTACTTCACTTCAACAACTGAAGTCTTTAAGTGCATAACAAGGTTAGTAATACACAATTACATCAACAATTAAAATTTATGAGAGGTAAAATTCTCTGTGTAGAGCTTATAATATATTAATGTAAGTTGAGCATGGTATAAATATATATATATATATATATATATATATATATATATATATATATATATATATATATATATATATATATATATATACTGTACATTACACGTAAGAACGAATCAAATACACCACAGCCACTATTTAAAAAAATTCTAAAAGATGATGAGGCAGCTCGCGCCTAGTGTGGAGGAGCAGCGGGCCAACTGCCGTTTACAGTAATTTTTCTCGATTTATTATGTCGTTACAGTTTGTTTAAGTGAAGTTATAGGGGTGTACCTCTGCTGGTCTACATCCATCCCACTACAATTTGTCAGCAGAATTACCCAAGCTGAGTCAATGAATAAAGTGTTTTGTGGCCACGTGTATGTGCTGCACATACTGTTTGTAGATGACACAATTCGGTATTGAATTTGTTCGAGTTCGGTCAAATTGTCTAAAAAAAAAATACCTTAACAGGATTTTTAAACATACACACTTTGTGTCTCGTTAGGATAAATCTTGTGTGTCATATAGGCTAAGGGTATAATGTGTTATATCTTGTGTGTCATATAAGGGTATAATGTGTTGTATCTTGTGTGTCATATAGGCTAAGGGTATAATGTGTTATATCTTGTGTGTCATATAAGGGTATAATGTGTTGTATCTTGTGTGTCATATATGGGTATAATGTGTTATATCTTGTGTGTCATATAAGGGTATAATGTGTTGTATCTTGTGTGTCATATAAGGGTATAATGTGTTATATCTTGTGTGTCATATAGGCTAAGGGTATAATGTGTTATATCTTGTGTGTCATATAAGGGTATAATGTGTTGTATCTTGTGTGTCATATATGGGTATAATGTGTTATATCTTGTGTGTCATATATGGGTATAATGTGCTATATCTTGTGTGTCATATATGGGTATAATGTGTTATATCATGTGTGTCATATATGGGTATAATGTGCTATATCATGTGTGTCATATATGGGTATAATGTGTTATATCTTGTGTGTCATATAAGGGTATAATGTGTTATATCATGTGTGTCATATAAGGGTATAATGTGTTGTATCTTGTGTGTCATATATGAGTATAATGTGTTATATCTTGTGTGTCATATAAGGGTATAATGTGTTATATCTTGTGTGTCATATATGGGTATAATGTGTTATATCTTGTGTGTCATATAAGGGTATAATGTGTTATATCATGTGTGTCATATATGGGTATAATGTGCTATATCTTGTGTGTCATATATGGGTATAATGTGTTATATCATGTGTGTCATATATGGGTATAATGTGCTATATCATGTGTGTCATATATGGGTATAATGTGTTATATCATGTGTGTCATATATGGGTATAATGTGCTATATCATGTGTGTCATATAAGGGTATAATGTGTTGTATCTTGTGTGTCATATATGGGTATAATGTGTTATATCATGTGTGTCATATATGGGTATAATGTGCTATATCTTGTGTGTCATATATGGGTATAATGTGTTATATCATGTGTGTCATATATGGGTATAATGTGCTATATCATGTGTGTCATATATGGGTATAATGTGTTATATCTTGTGTGTCATATAAGGGTATAATGTGTTATATCATGTGTGTCATATAAGGGTATAATGTGTTGTATCTTGTGTGTCATATATGAGTATAATGTGTTATATCTTGTGTGTCATATAGGGTATAATGTGTTATATCTTGTGTGTCATATATGGGTATAATGTGTTATATCTTGTGTGTCATATAAGGGTATAATGTGTTATATCATGTGTGTCATATATGGGTATAATGTGCTATATCTTGTGTGTCATATATGGGTATAATGTGTTATATCATGTGTGTCATATATGGGTATAATGTGCTATATGTCATGTGTGTCATATATGGGTATAATGTGCTATATCATGTGTGTCATATAGGGTATAATGTGTTGTATCTTGTGTCATATATGGGTATAATGTGTTATATCATGTGTGTCATATATGGGTATAATGTGCTATATCTTGTGTGTCATATATGGGTATAATGTGTTATATCATGTGTGTCATATATGGGTATAATGTGCTATATCATGTGTGTCATATATGGGTATAATGTGTTATATCTTGTGTGTCATATAAGGGTATAATGTGTTATATCATGTGTGTCATATAAGGGTATAATGTGTTGTATCTTGTGTGTCATATATGAGTATAATGTGTTATATCTTGTGTGTCATATATGGGTATAATGTGTTATATCTTGTGTGTCATATAAGGGTATAATGTGTTATATCTTGTGTGTCATATAAGGGTATAATGTGTTATATCTTGTGTGTCATATAAGGGTATAATGTGTTATATCTTGTGTCTCATATTAGCTAAGGGTATAATGTGCTATATCTTGTGTGTCATATAAGGGTATAA